GATATCACGTAGAAGAGCAGAATGGAAAAGAAGGATAACAAATACAGAAATCATAAAAAGAAGAGAGAGAAAAAAAATACATATTACACCCCAAAATCTGGTATAGGTCAGTAGTCAAGCTTCTAATTACATCAAGAGTACAAAGTAAATTAAAAAAATAGAAAAAAAAATCTCAATAATACAAAATAAAAAAAATTCTAGTTAAAAGCGAAGGAGAATGGAAACTTTGAACGTCAAGAGCTCACCTTAAGACTCTGAGCCAAAGTTGTTGGTTATGAGGAAAATGTCAATGACAAGAACTTATACTATTATTTGTGGGGTGCAGAACTGTAGTATGAGTACTAAGGAAATGGTACTCAAAAGTCATACATTGAATGAGCTCCAAGGATTATAAAAAGTATAAAAGGCAAGGAAAGAGTATATGTTACAAGCAACTACGAACTAGGTAATGCACAATATAAGCAAATAGATATAAGAAAACGGGACAAAAGAAATAGGTAGTGAAGGCAAATGAAAATACTTGGAGGAACTATACCAATAACCTAATCACAACAAGATCCCACTACAAAATTAACTTAACAAAGATACACTACCAGCATCCATCGTGAAACATAATAACCATCAACAGGCTGATCCAATCCAACTTAGTCACACCCTGAGCCTACAAGATGGACGTGATTGACACTCCAGAACTCTTATTGGTCCGATGTAAACCCTTGTCTTGGCAAACTATTAAGGAGAGGGCTAACTCAAATATACATAAGCATTAAAATTGAATTTGTTTGAAATAGTTAAATAAAACTTAAAGCTATCTAAAAATAATGAATATTATATATGAAGTTTTAAAGAAAACATTTGAAACTGGATACTGAAAAATTGACCAAGACTATTGATCTATTAAGTCGCTGCTGTAAAAGGATAGATGTCGGGACAAAATCCACGACACCTTAGAATATCACTACTAACAAATCATGACACTAGAGTCCTATGTAAGTAAGGGGGCTTACTCAAATCCAATAAGCGGATGGTGTGATCACAATGGATGTCAAAGACATGAAAAATTGGCATGTGTAAATAAATGTGCGTGAAAAATATTGGCACGTGTAAATGAAAGCGTGTGAAAATATGGCCACGTGTAAGAAAATATTATATTATTTAAATTATAAATATTGAATGGTTCGATGTTCACAATTTTTGAAATCTTTGACCGACATTATTTAAATTAATATTTCTTGATCATTGATATCTTTGACCGCACCATATAAATTAGCATTCCTAATCTTTGATATCTTTGACGATCAATATTTAAATTAATCTTTGACATATTTAACCGACATTATTCAAATTAACATTCCTTAATCTTTAATATCTTTGACTGACATTATTAAAATTGTTCTTGATATCTTTGACTGGCATATTTAAATTAATCTTTGATATGTTTAACCGCCATTATTTAAATTAACATTCCTTAATTTTTTATATCTTTGACCGATATCATTTGCATTAATATTCCTTATAAGTAATATGATATGCTATCCATGGACACTCATTCACTGTCCTAGAAACTATATAATAGTCCTTTGTCTTACTCTTTCTTCTTCAATGAACACTCAAAAATTGACTTTTGTCTCACTCTTCTTAAAACTTTGAAGTTTTTGCATCAGGAAGATATGGGGAATTACGATACGAGGCTCGTCACCATAAAGTGCAAGATGGCATAATTTTTGTTCTTTGATGTCCTAGTGCTACCTGAAAGGAGGTTGTCACTTATTTTTGTCGATTGTAACTTTGCATGGCTAGCTACTGTATATGATGATGAGATCATGAATGCACCTAGTAAAATGTGATGATCTCATCGCTTTTGCAGTAGCTAGCCTTGCAAATGTTGATCTCTATAAGCAAGTGATGACCTCCTTTCATCTAGCCATGGTACATCAAGGGACAAAAATTGTGGTTCCTTGCACTTCAGAGTGACGGACTCCATATCACAATCTTTCATGTCTTTCTCATGCAAGAATCTTTAAGATTTTAATATTACCCAAATTCAAGTATTAGTTCAAATAAAAATTCGACCACACAACTCCATCTTGATTTCTTCAATTCTTAATAAAGTTTTAACATAAGCAATTTATTTATCTCTTCTTAATCCTCCCTCCCTCCACCCCCCTAAATTAGGAAATTATTTCTTCTCTATCATTTTCCTTACATATCCCGGAATGGGATATGAGGACTTGTATCTTAATGCCTAATTATTTTATATAGATCATGCAATATCGAGAAGACATTATATCAAGAAAATAAATTGTGACCATCCAAAACCACAAGTATTAGAAGGTAAAATTGATCTAAAAATGGTATTTTTCAATCATTCATTATAGCTTCTTAAGATATGTGACAATTTCAAATTTTTACATGTAAGTTCAAAAATATTGCAATGACTTTTAAGTTATTTATATTATTGGATATTAGTTTAGAATTGTTCTAAAACTAAATAAAGTCAATTATGATCGCGCGAAGAGTAAATTACCTAGTTAATTTCATATAGTAGAAGAGTCTACAAGCACGTAACTCATGACCACGTGTCTACTTCAGCAATGTGCTTGTAGCTAAAGGTGTAGGGCCCACTTTAATATTTTATCCATTTTAATTTATTTATCTTACTTTACTTTTAATTATGTTATTTGAAAATTATCTTATTGTAAATCATAATAATTAACAACTTTGAAATATTTGATTGTATATTTAAAAGTGTTGTTATCAATCACAATAATTAACTACTCAAATATGTTTAAAATATTTTTAAAATATTTTTTAAAAATTGACCGACTCTCGAAATCTGTTAGTACCTCATAAATTGAGACAGAGAGAGTAAAATATATTATTTAAAAATTACATAAAATGCACTATAAATCGCAATAATTAACAACTAAAAATATTTTTAAATCATGTAAATATATTATTTATGTCATTTAAATTGAAATACGTAGAGTAAAAATTTGAAAATGATGCTAAAAAATATTATAAATCACAATTATTAAAATCTTTAAATTTTTTTTTTAAAAAAAAACTAATATTTGATTGACTCCTCAAAAATTTTTCCATGTTTCTTAAATAATTACCGTAAAGAATTAACAGAAATATTTTTTTTATAAAACTAAATTTAATTGACTCCTCCAAATTTTATCTATGTTTCATAAATAATTAATGTAAAGAATTAACATATATTAAATCATTGCTGACTCCTATACTTTTGTCTTACTATACTTTTGATTATGTTATTTATTTGAAAATTACCTTACAATTATTGTAAATCATAATAATTAACAACTTGAAGTATTTGGTTGTATATTTAAAAAGTGTTATTGGTCAAAATAATTAACTACTCAAATATGTTTAAAACATTTTTTAAAAAAAAATTGATTGACTCTAAATTCTATTAGTGCCACATAAATTGAGACAGAGTGAATGAAAAATATTATTTAAAAATTACACAAAATGTACTATAAATCACAATAATTAACAACTAAAAATATTTTTAAATCATGCATGTAAATATTTTATTTGTGTCATTTAAATTGAAACAGGTGGAATAAAATTTTGAAACTGATGCTAAAAATTAAAAAATATTATAAATCACAATTATTAATATCTTTAAATATTTTTTATAAAACTAATATTTGATCGTCTACTCAAAATTTCATCTATGTTTCATAAATTAATGTAAAAAAATTTAACATATATTAAATCATAGCTAACGTACACTCCTAGATATATCTAGTATAAACATAATATGCACGACAAGAGAACCCATGGCGAGTACCATTGTTTGAATGACAATAAACAAAACCCATAAAAATTGTACTACTATATTTTTAATTTATAAATATTTAAAAAGACGAGTTTATAATATTATAAATCTTAACAAATTTTAGACTTTGCATACATGTATCTGGCATGTTTAGATATTTCCACATACATATATCTTCGATTCATGGGGTCAAAATTAGGTGTAATTTTATCAAGATGCAATTCATCCAAGTGAATCCACATGTTTCCGACTCTCTCGCTCGCCTCTCTCCATGAATTTGATACAACAAATATATGTATATTGTGTAATTCACATAAATATAGAATTTTTTCTCTATAATAATCCTCTTGGTCTTTTGTGTGCTTTTGTGTGATTGTTAAAAAAAATTTCCCCTTCTATTAGCTTTTGTGTTGTACTTGTGGTGATTTGGGATTGATATATGTGTGTCCGGAGTGAGTTGTGAGTTTTCCCCTTCTTGTAGGTTTTAAGTGAAAGAGTTAAATTTGGTTAACATTTGGAGAATTTAACGTAGTATGAGATTTCTGTCAATTTCATTGGCTCCAAAAGCTCTATTTCGGGCTAGTGGCATGGTTGGTTTGGGTCTCGAGGCCTTTGACGTGAGTTTGAGTCCTTGGGAGAGAAATTTTTGATAGTTTTACTAATGTTTGAATTTGGTCAACATTCTTGGTAAATATGTTCGAATGATAATTTTGTCAACACGGTTTTCTTCTAACAGTCAAGTTTGGTCTAGAGCGACCTTCAGCTAGGATCTTTAGGTGATTAGGATGACTTTGTAGTGTTTGGCGTTACATTGTTTTGTTTGTTTTTGTAATTGTTAACTAAGGTCAATAGTCTATCAAAACAACCTCCGTTAGTTGTTTCATCTGTTCTGTTGAGTCTAGAATATCAATTTTAATGGGGTATCATTAATTTTTACAACTACTAATAGTTTCAGATGTGTGTTTGTATAAATTTCTTGTTTCAAGTTTATACAAATAACTGAATTGTGCAAACGTACCCGCAAAATTATATTAAACTCGTGAATTATATAAACGAGATAACTTAAATTATAAATATGTAAATCATTGTTATGAAGCATAATTAAGTTTATTATAATGACTATTTCACTTATCTAGCCCATTAAGATATGAATAGGAGTGAGTTGCCAAAATATGAGATAATTTTGTCGGATTATCAAAGTAGTTGGTCCACTTCAAATGGGCCATTTAGCCCATTCTTTGATATACACAACCAAAGAAAGAATCCAATTTGATGTTCAAAGGAAAAAACCAAGAGCAAGAGAAACCGGTGACTTAGGGGTGAAAGGTGATAAATGTTCTTCTTTTCTCTGCAATTTACTCTAACAAAACTTTCTCTGCAGGTGTTATCTTCAATTCATTATCATTTTGATGTACCTAAATTAATCTTAGAGTTGATGAAAGTCTAATTGATGAATGTCTGCTTGTTGTTTGACGAAATGCCTCATCGAATACCAACTTCTTCTTTTTTAATTTATCCACGATTTTTCTAGTTAGGTGTGATGAAGAACACTTATAAAATAATGGGTCATGAATTTTCTTGATAGAAATGCGTCCTAATTCTTGGAAACCCACTTTAAAGATGTGTTTCTGCTGTAAATATGGATAGAGAACAATGGGTACGCTTTAGCTAAGCAGCCAATGAGTATTGGGTTGCTCATAAAGATTCTACTAACATTGAAGTTGTCATTACTTACTGATACAAAAACGAGTTTGTTTGATAGAAAATTACGAATTCAAACTTTTAAGCTCAAATACTTACTGATAAAAAAACGAGTTTGTTTGATAGAAAATTACAAATTCACAACCCAACATGTTGATTTGGGTTTGTTTCTTGAAATTTGTGGAAGGAAACATACTCTAATCTTTAATAAGTAGGAGGGTGTATTTGGGATGGATGGAGTATTTTCTATTTGTGTGTTGTATTCTTGAACCCAAATTATCTATTTTGTGGGATTGTAGTAGAACTAATGAACTAATACTGTGTCTTATTGATCAAAGGTCTCCTTTTTTTTATGGGAATATGCTGAAACTAGTTTCTGAAATGTTGTGCGCTAGAGGAGGTCAGAAGTTGAGGCCTTATCTATGTGTGTGCATACATAACTTTGGCAGGAGTGACTGAATGTTCTAGATTCTGCCTTGTCGACTTGAATGGTTCTCCAATAGGACATGGCTAGTTATATCTAAGCTCCACTTGTTAATTCTGAGGTTTCTTGTTTGTTTTATCCAGTAGTGTGTTTGTATATCTTTCAAACAAAGACTCTCTTTACGTAAAATAAATGCAGAAGAGTGCTTATTAACTTTCATACAAATGACTCTAGGGTAACATGACTGATGAATGTCTCAAATTACTGGGGATCAGTATGTCTTCTTGTTTCCATACAAAGATTGTTGGAATGAACTCTATTGTTTCAGAACGTCAATTTCATATTGAGATAAAGGCTCAAGTGAGTCAAGAGTTAATTTTTCTCTAGAGAGTCTAGACTCCTAACAAATCTACATTCACGGACATCCAAGTTTGATTGTCAGCCTCATATAACTAGAGCCTTAATAATTGGAATAGTTTTAGAGTTTTAATAGTGGACTTATGTAGAAACATGTTTAAGAAATTGTTGGACCATGTAAATGAGGAGTAATTGTTGTGCAGATCTCACATCAAGGCAAAAGCAGTATGACTGAGCAATATTTATATCTTTCATTAAGACATGTTTAAATGAAAAACGGTTCTAAATAGTGTCAAGTAACTGGTAAGGTACTCTCTGATGATAGAACCATGTAACTATGAAAGGGTAAAGTTGCAAATGGTAGATTCCGAAGAATGTAGGTCGTTTCCAAATTGTAAAAAATATTTTGTTATTCTTAGTTGCAATGCATTTTATAATCCGGTGGAATAATCGTACCTTGGACATAAAGCATTTTGAAGCAACCATCATTTTGTTGAAATCAACTCTTTATTGTTGGTTACACTTAATTGAGCAATCAGTTGGTTCTCCTTTGTTCTGAGAATGCTTATACATAAAAATGCTTGTATTATTTATATATGTGATTGCTTAATTGTATATTATGTATATGTGCATTTTTTATGTTAACTGTATGTGATATTGTACAAGGTTGCAGTGAATTGATGTAAAGGCATGATGAATGTATGGATTTGGGCTTTATAGAAATTGGCTTTAATAAGAAGTGCTGACCTTATGTCTCTTTAGTTTCCTGCTGTAATCTTTTAACCTTTGCTTCTGTATAATTAATGAAGCAGAAATGCTCTGCAGCTTCAAGAAAAAGATAGGTTCAGACTGTGTTGAGGGAAGAGATTGTAGAATCGGAGTACAAATCCTTTTTAAGCTTTTAAATTGGATATTTCACAAAACTTAAAACAAAACAAGTTCATTAAAGTTCTGAATCCCTTGTTTATTTTTGGCTCAGTATGAGCTCCGAGCTCGAAGTGATTTTTGTCCTTCAATTAAAATAAGGAACGAGTCTTTTGTCCGGGAAAAGAATGATAAAGAATGACTTGTGAGAAAGAGAGAGAAGTGAAACACTGTTGACTCCATATAGCACTTGATGTCAGCCCTGCTTACAGGCTTTTATACTCGTGGTTTCATTGCCACTGTTGTGCGTTTGTGCTTATATTTAAAATGTGGTCTTCCTCCTCCTTTGTTTGAATGTATGGGCTTATTGTTATACCAAACATTGTTCCCCTTTGTTTCGTGTATTCTTGAGAAATATGAGGGATGGAAAAGGGAGAAAAGATTAGCACTCAAGTATCACAGTGTGGTGCTTCTGTGTGTTAGCCTTGTTGAAGAATAGGAGTTTGAATCTTTGTGATTTAATTATGTTTTTAATTTTTTGCTTTATATGTTATGACTTATGAGTATTTTGGCCTATGTAATTTCTTTCAATCTAAGACTATTACATCTATTTAGTTAATTTAATATTTTTTATTTTTATACTTAATGTCGCTTTTTTTACAAAAAGCGCGCGCTTCGCTTCACGCTTCTCGCTTCTGTGAAGCAAGCCCTCGTCGCTTTTTTCCGCTTTTCGCTTCCCAAAACACTGCGTAAAATAAATGTAGAAGAGTTCTTATTAACTTTCATACAAATGACTCTTGGGTAAGATGACTGATGAATGTCTCAAATTACTAGGAATCAGTATGTCTTCTTGCTTCCATACAAAGATTGTTGGAATGAACTCTATTGTTTCAGAACGACAGTTTCATATTGAGATAAAGGCTCAAGTGAGTCAAGAGTTAATTTTTCTCTAGAGAGTCTAGACTCCTAATAAATCTACATTCACGGACATTGTTTCTCCTTCCGTCCAAGTTCGACTGCCAGTCTCATATAACTAGAGCCTTAATAATTGGAATAGTTTTAGAGTTCTAATATTAGAGATGTACAGACATGTTTGAGAAATTGCTGGACCATGTAATAGTGGAGTAATTGTTGTGCAGATCTCACATCAAGGCAAAAGCAGTATGACAGAGCAGTATTTATATCTTCCATTAAGACATGTTTAAATGAAAAACTGTTCTAAATAGTGTCAAGTAACTGGGAAGGTACTCTGTGATGATAGAACCATGTAACTATGAAAAGGTGAAGCTGCAAATGATAGGTTCTGGAGAATGTATTCTAAATTGTAAAGAATATTTTGTTATTCTTAGTTGCAATGCATTTTATAATCCGGTGGAATAATTATACCTTGGACATAAAGCATTTTGAAGCAACAATTATTTTGTTGAATCAACTCTTTATTGTTGGTTACACTTAGTTGAGGAATCGGTTGGTTCTATCTTGTTCTTAGAATGCTTATATATAAAAATGCTTGTATTATTTATATATGTGATTGCTTAATTGTATATTATGTATATGTGCATTTTTTATGTTAACTGTATGTGATATTGTACAAGGTTGCAGTGAATCAGGCAAGATGAATGGATGGATTGGGCTTTATAGAAACTGGCTTTAATAAGAAGTGCTGACCTTATGTCTCTCTAGTGTCCTGCTGTTATCTTTTCACCTTTGCTTCTGTACAATTAATGAAACAGACATGCGCTGCAGCTTCAAGAAAAAGATAGGTTTGGACTGTGTTGAGGAAAGAGATTGTAGAATCGGAGTACAAATCCTTTTTAAGCTTCTAGATTGGATATTTCACAAAACTTGAAACAAAACAAGTTCATTGAAGTTCTGAATCCCTCGTTCATTTTTGGCTCAGTATAAGCTTAGGAAGTTCAAATGCAGAATTTCAGACAAGGAAGTTCAAAAACAGTTCCTCTAGTACCAGACAAGGAAGTTCACATGCAGAATTTCAGAAAGTCAATTCTGCTTTTGGTCAAGAGTATGACAAACTAGAATAATCAGTAGGTTCTACTTCCTACTAATGGAATTGATTGATCAATGGCAACCAGAGTTTATAATTTTATTAGGATGAATCTGTCTAAGTTTTTAGGGTCCAAAGTTGGTAAGGACCCACAGAAGTTCATTAATAAGGTCAAGAAAATATTTGGTGTGATATCAGTAACTGGTAGTTATATGTGAGATAGGCATCCTACAAACTCAAGGATGAGACTCACATATGGTTCACTCAGTGGAAAGACAACAGACATGACTTGGTCTTTTGTAACTCAGTATATCAGTCCAAATCAGTATTAGTCCAGAAACTCTCTCAGATTCTTTCTCAATCTTTACTCCAGTCGGTGACCCAGTTATAGCTAGACGGTATACAGAAATTGTCCTATCAGAATCTCTCAGAAAGTCACCTCAGCAGATCTAGTAGAGTTAGAAATGGTAGACTTCGATGTCATTCTAGGTATGGATTGGTTACACTCATGTTATGCCTCAGTCGATTGAAGAACAAGGATTGTTCGTTTTCAATTTCCCAACGAACCAATATTAGAATAGAAGGGTAGTAGCTTAGCGCCTATGGGTCCATTTATTTCTTACCTTAAGTCCAGAAAGATGATCTCACAGGTTACCTCGTACTCGCAGACAGCATGACTCAGTTTGGGTGATAGTTGATAGGATGACTAAGCCTTCTCGCTTTTTGGCGGTCAACACTACATATTCGGCAGAGGACTATGCCAAGCTTTACCTTACTGAAATTGTGAGGTTGCATGGGGTTCCTTTGTCTATCATCTCAGATAGAGGTCCTCAGTTTACCTCTCATTTCTGGAAGTCATTTCAAAAAGGTCTTGGTACTCAAGTCAACCTTAGTACAACATTTCATCCACAGACGGATGGGCAGGCAGAGCGTACCATTCAGACCTTAGAGGATATGTTGAGAGCTTGTGTGATCGATTTCAAAGGTAGTTGGGATGATCACCTTCCTTTTATTGAGTTTGCCTACAATAATAGCTACCATTCCAGCATTCAGATGGCCCCTTATGAGGCTTTATATGAGCGTAGATGTAGATCTTCTGTTGGTTGGTTTGAAGTAGGTGAAGAAGCTTTGATAGGGCCAGATTTAGTCCTTTATGCTATGGAGAAAGTGCAACTCATTAGAGATAGACTTAAGACAACCCAAAGTCGTCAAAAATCTTATGCATGTGTAAGGAGAAGGGAACTAGAGTTCCAAGTTGATGATTGGTTTCTCTACAAGTCTCACCTATGAAAGGGGTGATGAGATTTGGAAAGAAATGGAAGCTCAGTCCTAGATATGTAGGCCCTTACAAGATCTTGAAAAGGATTGGCAAGGTGGCATATGAGTTAGAGTTTCCAGCAAAATTAGCAGCAGTGCATCCGGTCTTCCACATCTCACTCTTGAAGAAGTGCGTGGGTGACCCAGCCTCTATAGTGCCATTAGAGAGTGTGGCGGTGAAATATAATCTTTCTTATGAGGATGTACCAGTTGAGATTTTTGACTGTTAGGTTAGAAGGTTGAGAAACAAAGAAGTCGCTTCAGTCAAGGTTTTGTGGAGGAGTCAGTCCGTAGAGGGAGCTACTTGGAAAGCAGAAGCAGCCATGAAAGACAAGTATGCTTACCTTTTTCCTTTCGATTCCACTCCAGCTTGAGGTAATAGTTCCTCTTCAGTTTTACAGTCATTCATGCGTAAATTCAATTTTTGAATCATGTTCCCTCAATTTGTACTTTCATTTTTAGCGTAATTGCACGTACTCAGAACTCAATTCAGTCAAAACTCAGTTCTCAGTGTTTAGTAGCGGGGTTTGCATCTCTCTCCCTCTATTTCAGCTAGTTTAGTCTTCATTCGAGGACGAATGTTCCCAAGGGGGAGATAATGTAACACCCCGTAGCCAAAACAGCACAAAAATTAGTTTTTTAGAAAAATCTACAGGTGCTACCAACGGTGGCATGAGACGGACCGTAGCCTGAACCACAGTCCGTCCTGCACAACCATCGATGGAATCAGAAACTCTCAAAAATTTCAGCCTAGAAAAGTTGTTTAAGTCTTGGACGACGGATGGACTTACGTTCCGTAGGTCAAACGACGATCCGAAATCCGTAACTGTCGATCAAGACTCCCTTCAACCACTCTCTTACAAGAGCTATGGATGACCAACATGGTTCGTAGGTGGACCTACGGTCCGTATGTGGAAAATTTGCAGCCATTTAAGGGGAAATGTAGTTGGGTCAACTTAAAATGATCATAACTCTTAGTAAAAAATGAATTAGGTCTTCCACAACCAACGCACAGATATATAATTGAATTATCTTTCCATAGCCACCGACCGTTTTAAAATCAGACCTCTGACTAAAAAGTTATGCCCATTTTAGTAAAGGACTGTCGAACAGGCCCTCACGACGGACCCAACGACGGGATGTCGGGCGCACGACGGACCGTCTGTCCTGGCAGTCGTGAGGCCCGACAGCAACCTTCCCAAGGGTCTTTTTGACCTTTTCCACTTCGTTTAAACCCTAAGTTACGTCGTTTTGACCCTAAATTATCAGATTTTAGTCAGTTTAAGCCTAGAAACATAATTAAATCATATCCAAGTCAAATCATTAAATCAAAACATAGAAAAAATAGAAGCAAGAAAGGAAAAAAAAAGCTCAAGAACCCTTGTTCAAGAACGCCACAAGTTCCATCAGTTCCAGCCCCAAAACTTAAGTATTTTTCCGTGGATTTTATCACCAAATATGTGGGATTTCACTAGTGGGTTCCTTTCACCTATTGGTTCCTTAGTTTCAATCAGTTCTTGATTCTTTTATCATGATTAAGCCTAGGGGTTCTAGAACTTTGATATAACTTCATGAATTTATTAAATATATGTTCCAAATTGAATTATCATGTTATTACTCAGATTATCGTATGAATTTCAAAACCCTAGCTTTGTATTTCTTTAGTTCTTGAATTACACATGCTAGGTCATATATTTCAGACACTTCAGATATACATGTCTCAGTTATAACTACATAATTACCAGATTAATTGTTATATTCTCAGTTTGCATGTTCAGTTTTGAGCTATCCAGTATTTACAGAAATAATCAGTTAATTTGCAGAATTCATTGGGAGTAGCATAATACCGAGTTGGACTAGGGTTTAGCGTACCCAATAGTCCCAGAACTACTAGTCGAGTAGGTTGTAAGTCCCCTCTGTGGGCAATCATTTTAGTGATCACGCCAGCATGTCTTTATACCTTTGGTAGGGTATATTGGATCCTCTCGATGGGGCGTACACATCGGACTCCACATTTAGCTCATGTGGTTTTATTATCGGTTATTAGTAGCTCCCACAGTTCAGTCAAACTCTTTGCATTGACCATTTATCAGTATATTCAGTATTCAGTTTCAGCATGTTATAAATTGGTCATTGCATCCAGTTAGCTCAGAAATCAGCACATCACGTTCAGATTATTACACTTGTTTTTGTGCTTGTTCAGTTATGTTTTATTTCAGTTTTACTCTATCCTACATGCTCAGTACCTTTCAAGTACTGACGCATATGTGTGCTACATCTTCTCGTGATGTAGGTTCAGGTTCTCACCATCCAGATCACGCATAGATCGATTTTCCGATCTCCAGTTCAGCAGATTTAGTGGTGAGTCCTCATTCTCCGAGGACAACAATCATTAGTTTTA